GCATGGATAAAGAAACAAAGGGCCCGACAGTTTGTAGGAAGCCTCTTGGCTGTTAAAATGGTAAGACTACCCTCTAGTGGTGTGTTTGAGTGTTGGGAAAATCCTGGAGCAACACATCCCTTAGTTTCAAATGTCTCAATTTACAATAAAGAAAAAATAATAATATAAAAAAATGTAGAAATATGCCACTGAATATGCTATTTATTAGTTGCTGTGAGAAGGCAATATATAGTTATCACCCTTATATCACCCTTCAAGCACAGAGGCAATTCAAAGTGCTTTATATTAGGTGAAGAAATGCATTAGAACAACATTTAGAAATACACACACCACAGAAAAAATAAAATAAAGATTTATATAAATAAATTAAAATGAAATACAAATAGACAAAAAAATATACCTGTAATAAAAATTTAATTGCAGTTACTTGGCAGTAAAAGCAATTAAATATGGGTAGAGGAATAAATCAATAAAAGATAGAAGAGAATAGCAGCATTTTAGATTTGAAAGCAGCTAAAGTTGGGGAGAGAAGATAAGTGGATTAAAAGGCATTATCTGATCTGAAAACCAACAGTGGCCAGGACCCATACAGGAATATGATGTAGGTTGTTTTACCCTTGACTCACACTGACTTACTGTCTGTATGTGACATGTCCTGATCACCTGAAAAGTAGGTTTGTGGAGGGAATCACTTTAAAGGATTAGCACTGTCACTTGTTTGGATTACATGGAGAGTTTACCTGCCCATCTGTTACCTTCAAGCCAATGTAGACACACTTTACACTCACACTGTATTGTTGGCATTTATTTATTCAGACGGATTAAAAGCTTGACACAGTGGGGCTCAGAAGGAGCAGTGTCCTTTGTCTTGATTGTGCTGTTTGACTCCCAGCCAAAAGATGCAGTGTCTTTATGTATTCAGTGTACTAGTAAACAGCTGTCTGCACAGAATGACCTCTGACCTCCAAGCTGGAAGCCAGGTGTAACTAATAAATCTTAATTATATACTCTACAGCACTTTTTATTTTGGTTTGTGGACTTGCGTCCTGTTTGGTGCTTTTATTTTGGTTAGTTAGGCTTGTTATTAGTGATGTCCAAATGAAGCAATTAACCAGTATTGAACCACTTCATCAATTGTATCGAACATCGTTCATTCATTCAAAGGTTTGTTTCAGTGACATCTAGTGGCGAAATAGGAGACAGCAAAACAATATCAATTATGTGAATGCTCCATGATGGTGATCAAACAAAAGGCCGCAATGATAATAACAGCAACTACACACACACACCTACTACGATGACAAACCCACATGTTTTGCATCATTTTGGGTGGCTTTATAGTGATTTTAGGCACCTACAAATCTGCTGATGTGCACAGCAGGTCTCGTGTTATGAAGCAGTATTGACTGTTTGAACCAGTCACAGGATTCACTCTGGGGACTGAAGCTGTTTCTGCTTCAGACATCATCGGTCACGTGTCTTTTCCCGCAACAAAGCAAGCTTTGAAGCAGTGGTTCGTGGAAAATGCCTTTTCGAGTTTGAAGTATCGGAGCATCGGTGTCAGTCCATCACTACTTGTTATGTCCGATCACCATACCCCGTCTGTCTTTGTACTCCTGTAAGTTTTGAATCTGTCTCCTGTTTGTTCCTGCCCTGGTTTAGTTTGATTTGTTCCTTTGTGTTTTGGATTCTTGCCTGTTAGCAGCTCTTTGGTTAATTTCTCAAGTTTGACTTTAGTTCCTTTATCAGCTCCCTGGTTTTACTGTTTAGTTTAGCTATTTGGTACCCTTTGTTTGTTGCTGCCAGGTTGAGCCTTTGTATTTTTCTCCTTTGGTCTCTCATCCTGTATTATTTATTAAAATTCTATTCGAACCTTCCCCATTAATGTGCGACTAAATTAATACCATGAGACAGACAACTTTGTGCTTTCTGTTTTTTGTCTCACTTTTACGGCATTGGAATTTGTTTTTATTGTGTAAACTGTAGCACTGATAAAACAATGAATTCCCTTGTATACTAAATATTGGATATGGAGAGAATGATAAGTCATATTGTGAGTTATACCTTGTTCAGTTTAGGCTTATCCGCCTTCACAGTGTGGAAGGTATACTCTTTGTGGCTCAGAGGGTTGTCCAGCTGTCTAGAAAACAATCGACACCTCAGTGCGGAAAGCTGGAATCATGATTTGGCATCAGATTCAGACAGCACAGAAGCAAAGAATACTTGCATGTGGTATTGGACTTTAGCAAGTGCATTTGGTTGTATTACACAGTCTACTGTGCGATACATTACTGAACCAGGCATAGCAATTCAAATACGGAATTGTTTATGTGACAGCAGTTGGATATAAGTATCATGGCAGGATGCACAATGTCAGCTTTTACCCTGGAAATGGAGGTTATTTGAGTGTCTAAATGGGTTGTAAGAGGAGAGAGGCCGCAGTCAAGGCAATGCTTCCAATCCATGCAGGCATACCCAGCATCACTACAACAGCACTGTGTAGTCTACCAAAAGGCTGCTGGATAAGTTGAATACTAGATGGTGAAGAAGATTAAGCCAGAGCTTTACTGTGATGCCTGATTAAATAAAGGCTTTTAAACATATTCCTTGCTGCATCTAAGAGTGCCTTTCAATAAAATGCCACTTTTTGGAAGGCACATTGATTTTCTAGTTACACTGGTTGACGTTGGTGTTCCTGCAATGACTAAATAGAGTTCACAGTTCACCCAACATTTTATTTAACACTCAGGCTGAGAAGCAGGAGGATGGTGTTGTGGTGGAGGTGTTATGAAGATTTTAAGGTTACTGTGAATATGTGCAGGAGGAAATTGGCTGAGGAAAGCTGCTCACACCTACACACAGAATAAACCAACAAACCTTCATATTCACCTACACAAATGCTGCACATTCAAAATGGATTCTTTCTCTCTCTGCTATCATCGGCATCACACGCGCAAACAAACATTTCCTTCTGCGATTAGCACTTAGCCAAGCCTCCTATAATTCATGCATGACTGTTCTGGGCCAGTGAGACTCATTATCTGTGTGATGCAAATTTTCACAAGCTGACCCCTTGCGGATGTTGCACCGGTAGCCACTTGCCACAGCAGGGTGAGCCCACCCAACACTAAACCTGTCCTAAAAAAAAAACGGCATCCTTTGATATATCTCTTTGCATCTCATTGCTCAACTCGCTCGGTCCTTTTTATCTGCCTCTTCATCTCTCTCTAGCCACCTTTCAGCTGATGGAGCTTATTGTGGACAAATAGGCTTAGGAGCATCACTATGGCAACGGCGAATCGTGAAAAGCTACACAAGCACTTCATCAGGGGCCGTGATCCAAAGGCTCCCATTGGAGATGGTGCCCCCAACCTCCTGCCACAAGTAAAGGCAGGCCAGCGAGGCTCCTGGGAGGAGGAGGGGAGAGGGAGGTGGAGATAATGCAGTAGGACTGTGAGAGCAGAGAGAGAGAAACCCTTCTGTTTCTGCTTTTGATTCAGCCGGTCTCGTCTCTTCAGTATCCATCTTGCTGTCTGCTTTCTGAGGTCTTTTCTGATTCTGCTTTTCACTGACTTTGTTTCTTGGAGAGTTCAAGGCAAACTTAAAGAAGTAAAAGAAAAGGTAAGAAGGGTTTCTTTTTTTTTTCTGGTCACTCTCCCTTTTGCTTTGGAGTAAAACAGACCAAATGGTTGATATTTGAAAACAGCCTAAATTTATTATTTATCTGTCAAAAGAAGGCAGTTGTCCAAGCATAAAAAATGTTAGTCAGAAAAGTTAAGCACAGATATTCTTTGACAGAGAAACAAAAAACTGATACCAGGATATTTTTCCTCTTGGAACCAATTTTGTGTTAAAGATGTAAAATAACTGATATTAGTCCCAAAAGATGGTGAATGCGAGAGAGCAGCAGCTCACCTACATCCTGCTAAAAGCTGCGATGATTAGTCGATTGACAAAAAAACAACAACCCTGCTTTGTTAATTGATTAATTGTCTTTATGATTTTTATTTTCATGCAAAAATGCAAAAAAGCTTGATGGTTCCAGGTTCTCAAATGTGATTTGCTGCTTTTCTTAGTCTTACGTCATAGTATGTTGACTGTTTTGGGCTTTTATTGGTCAGACAAATCAAGATATGAACACATCATCTTGGGCTCCAGGACTCTGTGGACATTTTGGCTGTTTTTGTTTAAGATAATAAACATTTGTCGCAGCGCTAGGCATATTTATTTATGTCAGTAGAATTTCTACCTATTAGTTCATTTTGGCAAAGAAACAGTAAATTTAGTTACAAAACATTAAACAAGAACAGAGTAACAAGCTACCGGACACTCGCTGGTGTAGATGTAATAACAATTTGAAACACAGTTTTGACTGCCTGTGTGTGACTCCATTTTGAAGCTCAGAGTTAAACTGCTAAGGACAACCTCAACATGTGAACAGATTCAAGTCAGGTTAAAAGAGTACAGTTCTAAAAGTAAATGGACAACTAATAAAAGAAGATAGCATTACAGAATGAAGAGATTGTACAGGTACAATATGTTGCTCAGTTCTTCCTTGAAAATGAAAATCAGTGTATTTCAATTTGGGACTGCCACACCTTATGTAAAAGGGACACTTTGTGTAAGAAGAAGTCGCCTTATTTGGCCTCTTGTGGAATCCTGGCAGCCTCCAATGATACACATACAGTAAAACTGTTTAAATCTTGGACGCATTCCATAAAGATTAAACACTGTTGTTACTAGTCTTTATTATTAGTCACAGCCAGCAGGTGTGGCTTCAAACTGTGGCTGACATGGCTGTAGAATGAACTTTTCCTTCCCACTTCTGCCCAGTCCACCAAGTCAAGTATGTTCTCCTTCCTCACACACAGCATCTGCAGACATTGCTTGTCCAGACAGGTACTGTGCTAAAGTAAATTTCCTCCTTATTCTCTCTCGATTACAAAAAAGGACAAAGTACCAAATCACAGGAAGTACTTTTTTATTTCCTAACAGCGTGAAGACATGACAGTTTTGGGTTGTGGTCTTAGGCGACACACAATGCAAAACAAGATTTGCTGATGAGTTATCTTTAATGAAATTGACTGAATCAGAGACAGTGTGGACACAAGGCATTTAAATGATCTCTGTGGTGCACTTGCAGGAGGCGAGACACCAAGAGGCCACATCCTTGTTCCTGCAGAGCCCCTGCTGCTTCAGATCAGGCAGGTAGGGTACTGATCAGAGTAGGGACAGGGGATAGCTGGGAGAGAGCGAGAATAGGAGAACATTAATGGCAGAATGTTATATTTCATTTTATGAGAAAATAGAGTTCCCCTAGTATTATTAATGTTTTTGTTGGAGTCTCCCCTTGACTTAGAAATACACTGTAATGCGCTCCCCACAATATTTATGGTGACCATTTATTTATTTATGGTTTTAGAAGTGTAGACCTTCAGCTTTAGTTCAAGGAATTTCACAAAAACATGGCCCTGTCCATTTAGGAATTACAGCTATGTTTAAACATAGTGTCCATTTTCAGAAGCTCAAAAGTAACTGGACAAACTACAAAACAATATAATTATGTATAAATATATAATTATTAATTTTAATGTTTGGAAGGAAATCTTTGTCAGTCAACGACTGCCTGATGTCTGGAAGCCCTTAAATTAAAGCTGAAAGTCTACACTTCTAAAACCTATTGACTGCTTCATTTTCTATCTTTTAGACCAATTTGTCCATCTAGAAAACTGTACATTATTGCAGCATACTGACTACAGATGTGAAGTTCCAAGGATTAAGCCTTTACTAAATATATGTATATTCATATAATCTAACAATCAAACTTATTAGATCATATGGTGACCTTCTACATAAAGGGACAGGATCCCATTTTCTGCATGTGTAGAGTGGTTTAAGAAATTGTGGGGGTTAAGACAGTGGCCCTCGGTGCTTTCCCTAACTTGTGTTTCAACTCACATGTTGATCCTCAAGCTCTTTTAGGTGCGAATCATGTCACAGTGATGCTAGTGTTGCCATTTGCTCATAGATTTGTACTCCACTAAATGACTTTAGGTCAGGGCATAATAAAGCAGTATAACAGAATAGTACTTGGCACTAGTACTTCATCATGGTCTGAAATGTACTAAAACTATGATACTTATATAACATAGTTACTTTCAGTTAGTTTTAACTCGACATATGGTATTACATATAAAAAGGCCCGAATAAGACAAGAGACATCTAGATTGCAAAATGTTTGCACTTACATTTGCCAATACAGGCAGACATAGAAGTACTTGTATTCAGCGTTGGGACAGTAGGACATGCCACAGCCAATCTTGGTGGACATATACCAAACAAGCTGAGCAGAGACACAGCGTAAAAATCATGACAATCATAAATCCACATGTGATGGTAAATCTGCTTTTAAAATTCTCAGAAATACATAAAAAATGTTTATAAAGAAACTGTGAATATAGCTCCACCTGGCTGAGGTCTCCGTCTGCTTTTCCAATGACAAGGCCTGGTATTCTGCTCGGCCCCTCACGATACCAGAACAGGATGACATTTCTCCAGGTGACCTTAGAGTTGGACATGAACAGGTTCTCTCCACAGCTAACAGCTACAGTCAAAGAGGAGGTGTGGGATGTGCTTTAGTCTTCTTAAAAACTCAGTGGTCACACATGAATTTCAGTCTCCACTTCACACTGTCTTGATAAAAGGAGGGAATTGACCCCTGTGGGCTCCTAACTCTGACTATTGAGGACAGTTGGCTGCGCTTTACGAGGGTCAAAACCAATGAAAAAATTATGTTGTGGAGTCACAGCCTGGCTAACTTGTTGTAAGGTATAAACAATAGAGGTGCTGTAATGCACTTACTGCCGATCATTCTGCTGCTCTGAGGGCTGTGTTCCATGGAGCAGGTGTCGGCCCATTCCTGAGCTTTGGCTGCAACCTCGGCATCCCATTTCTGAGGAGCAGAGGACAGAGTGGCTGTTAAATCAGCACATGTAGACCTCTACAGTATGAACTTCATATTATCTCTGAGTGCTGTGTGCTTGTCTGGAAGACCATTTTATTCTTCACTGATATGCTGCATGAGGGAGCATGTGAAACAAGCACAAATAAGCTAGGTGATTTAACATTTCATGCTCAGAATCAAATATTTTCACTAACGCCCAGTGAAGCACACTTTATTTATGAAATGATTAATGCACAAATAAAATTATTACCATTTTCAGCTTTTTTTTAGCAGTAGGCTGAACAGTTTTTCTCAGGTCATTATGCAACTTCTCAATCTCCTGGACAACAGAAGGGATGAGGCCAGATTCTAAATAAACACCATTAAAACAAGAGGTTTAAATGTGAAGCACTGTGCAAAACATGAGTGAAAAATAATGTATGAATAACAAGTACAAACACTTACCCTCCTTCACGTTTAATTTGCAAAGATGAGAGAAAAAAATGTAGGTTAATGTTTTGCATATTAAGGTAAAAAGCATCAGTTCAGCAGCCTCTCTCATCACCACCTTCCCAAACTAACTTTCCACACAATGATCAATGTTGCTCTTAGGAGGTGTGCTCCGGCCGGTCCTTGATCTGACACTTAAATGCATGCACAATAATTAGTTTATAAAATAACACATGACTGCAGCTCACAAGCCATAAATAAAAAAAATACCATGCACATGTCCCGATGACGATACAGGCATTACTAACAGCAGGTAAAGTCAGCGTGTGGCTGCTGTCGCTCACCCCAAGCTGCAGGGCTCATGTTAGGGAGTAGAAATAATGTGATCCAATCTAGGGGTGGGTGACACTATCATATTTGATGGCTCCTTGGGCCACAAATGTGAAACTATATTTTTTTATCGTGGAATGACCCCCAGACGCAGTGGGATAAAACGTAAAGAACGCACGGTGCGTATAGGAATACAGATCCATGGGCCGCTGTTTAGTGTCCTTACCTTTCCAGCCAAGGTGCCAGGCACCTGAAGAACAGCGAGGACGCTGAAAGCACACAGGAAGGTGAAGGTGTACAGAGTCATGGTCAAATCCAAGACAGTTAACCTCCAAGAGCCTTAGGTGCGATTTATATAGGCAGGAGCACAGAGCCTTTCTTGTGACAATTGAACACACAGTTTCAAGGACATCCTTTTTTAACAAGACAAACATCCTGAACTTGGGATTAAGGGACATAGAGCATCTTTTGTCCCATGCCCTTGACAAACACAAGGAAACAGCACTAAAAGATTGCAGACCTCTGCCAAGGGGCAACTCCATTTCCCCATGATGTTATAAAAGTAATATTGCCATGATAGCTTGACCCTCATAATATGATTGCTGGACCATGAAAACCTACTAGTGGCATGTGGAGGGATGCTAATATGCTGATACAGAGTCATAGAATTCAGTTACTGTTTAACCCTTTCAAGATATTTCATTATCAATTCATCACCTTGTTTGACTGTTTCCTTGCATAGAAAGCCAGTATGTCAGACGGCTTGGCGCTATATTTGTCATAAGTTAGAAAGACATCAATGTGCCAAGAGGTGAGGGCAGAGGGACCAGCTCCATATCACCGTTTCAAACCTTACTCAGTTCACAAACTCTCTCCTGACAGAAATGTTGGATCTTAATCTTGTTTAAATCTGCTATGATGGCCTGAGGAAATGTGAGTTCTGTGAAGGATTTTTAATTGCATAGCTTGGACACTGTTACAAACACTGAAACATTTAGTTTGTGTCCAAGATTCATTCCAGTTTTTCACTGATACCGATTTGTCTAATTCTTTTTTCCCAAATGCACCTTAAGTAATCGGTGCCATTGTTTGTAAAGGTCTTGAATCTGGTTCAAGTTGCTAATTCATCACCTTGTTTGACTGTTTCTTTGCACACAAAGCCAGTATGTCAGACAGTTTGGCTCTATATTTGTCATGAGTTAGAAAGACAATGTGCCAAGAGGTGAGGGCAGAGGGACCAACTCCATATCACCATTGGCACCGGCCACCACCAGAATCTGATTGGCCACTGCTGGTGCCACCATTGGTGCCACCCATGGTGCCACTCCTGCCAAAATAACCTTAACCCTATCCCTCCCAGGCTGAGTAAATAAGGAGCGCAGCCCAAGTTAGCTAAAGAAAGCATTATGCGTCTCATTTTTACACAAAACTTGATTTGTTCCTTAATAATGTGTTGTTTATTATTTCATAGAACTAAAGGTTTTAGAAACTTTTGACATATATTTCAAATGTGCCAGCCCTCCCTGGGTCTGTGCCCCAACCTGGTCACCCCATCCAAAATATTCTAGATCCACGTGCTTGTGGCCCAAACCTCAAATCCAATGTCCATTACCCCTGGTATTTTTGCATATTTAGAGGAAACAGATGTCATTTTAGACTGGGCCCTCCAGGTGTCTCACTGCCCTCCATGCTTGAACAGTGTAACTTATGAGTGGGCTCCAGCTGGGATTACTAATATTTCTCATATCCTTTACATATAATGGGTCTTTTAATGGGTATGTAGATTACACACTTTCTATGTCGTACCACAGAGAGTTGTCATCCTCATGGATCCACTTTACAACTGATTTGGTATGTTTTTTAAAATCAGGGAGACCTAGGCCACTTTTATTGACTCCACATAGCACAGATAGTTTAAGTCAGGGCCTTTTCTTGCCCATAAGATAAACCAGCTGTCAGTTGTTCTGGTTGTCAAACTCATTTTTCTTTTAATGTCCAGTAAAGCTCAGCCTTGGAAAAATTCTTTTTGAAATTAGCATGAGTGATAGACTGGTGACCTGTCCAGGGTGCACCCCGCCTCTCACCCAATGTCAGCTGGGATTGGCTCCAGCCCCTCACCAACCCTCTTCAGGATAAGTGGTATAGATAATGGATTGATGATGGATTAGTCTGAGCAAAGATTCCAGCAGCAAGCTGCTCCAGTTTAATCAAGGTCCCATCTAATATTTTCAGTGCAGTGACTCCTTCAGATTGTTTCTCCCTCATCAGGGGGCAGTGAAGGAGTACAAGGCCATGGCCTCTTGGTTCAACTGGAATTATTACCGAAGCCGCCACTGCCCAGCCGATGTGGTCACCGACACCCTGATGCTGGAGTTCAGCTGGCAGCTGAAGGAGGCAGAGAGGCGGCAGAGAGAGAGGGAGAAGGAGTACCGACGCCTCAAGACCGGAGTGGACTACAGCTGGCTGGCCAGCACGCCTCGCTCCTCCTACAACATCAGCACTGGGGAGAGGCTCAGCCTGGAGGGCCTCTGCTCCAAGGTGCCACCATCCTGCTGCGGTTTCGTCATACTCAAGTAAGGAGCCATTGAACTGACACAAAAGTAGAAGAATATTACTGGAACTAAAGCCTGAAATGTTGCAGACAGACACACTAAGCGTTATCTTTGGCTTAGACAGATGAGGTTTCATTAGGACACTGCTCTGCTGGCCAACCTTTATGACCGTATGAAAAGTTTTTCTATCCTTTAATCTTCAGCACAGACATCCTGAACTTGTTGAGCAACTCTTCGCGGAGAGCTGGGAAGGTCTCAGGTGTCTTATTATGGTTTGACATTTTTGTGAAGTAGTTTGAGAGGTGTTAATGTACGTGAGCAGTGAGGTGATAAACGTTAGGTGGAAGTTAAACACACACACACACACACCCAACAGGGACCACGTGAAGCTTGTTTTTGTGATTTTAATGAGCTGTGTGAGTTGTCTTATAAAAATCAGTTCACACCACTTTAAAGAAAATTTGAATTTCACCTTATGAACAAGTTTTCTAGTCATTTTTTGTAGAAGGGTCTAATAGAGGAGGCACTATGCAACAACAATAAAAAAGAGAAATATTTTATGAGCTCTTTTACCTGTTCTTCCATTATGGAAGAAAATAAACTGACAATCTCTGCACCCATGTGGTTACTGTATCATTTCTCATCACCTGTTTTGCTTTGTACAGGTTCAGGGAAGCCATGCAGGCCAGTGAACCTGAAGTGGAGGAGGTGTTGGGCGTGTTCCGCTCTGTCCTCCTGGAGGCTCTGGACCACCTGAAGGAGGAGCAGGAGGCACAGCACCTGTGGATCAACAGATGTCCCAAGAGCATGTCCCTCAAGAATTTCAGGTCTCGGATCAAGATCAACCCGTTTGGATGCACGGTGGGCCTGACCTCCGCTGTGTCTGACGGGGCAGGGCTGAGTGACCTTAAAACTGTGTCAGAGAATGTGGAAAGAGGTATGGAGAGTGAGTAGAGGTCACAGTGGGTGTGGAGCATGCCCGACTTCAGCTACAAAGGAGAGAGCAGCAGCAAGGTTGCCTGATGTGGGGCACCGGTGGAACGTTTCAGTGGGACATATACTGATCTCCCCAGGACTCTGCTGCCATATGTTCACTTTCCACCAGGTGGAGGAGGATGAATGCCATCCTTCCCTGTAGGAAACCACTCAGCATTTGTTCCATTTATCTTTTCATCTGCAAGAGTAATGCCAGGTGTTTTTGTCTAAAGATTTTTCAACAATGTTTTTACTTGAAAGGGTTTTCCTTTCAATGAGATCACCTTTGGTGGAGATTTGACATCTAAGCTTTGAGGTCTATTATTTGTAGACCCACAGGGATATTTATGTAATTCAAAGAGCCCATGGCATCCTTTTACTTATTTTTTTTTGTTAATAACAGTGTTAAAATGGTGAATTATCGTCTTAGATCTGACCTAAACCTCATAAAATGAAATGTATGTTCTAGTACTTCTGTGTAAAAGCAACTTGGTTTAAACACATCTCAAGTATACACATCTCGCAAACTCTCACTCACTTTGAGTGAGAAGACTTTTTTCTAATAAAATGAAGTATTTCTTGATAGTTTTAGGATCTCCCTTGAACAGTCTTTATCTCCAGGCAGTAGCGACATCATGAGCTTGCCTGGCATCCACCGGTGCCATTGTAAAACAGAATTTTGAGATTGTGCACAGTTTTGTGGATATGTTTTACCTCCTGTTGCTGCACTGTAACCAGAAGATGTGGAGAAAAATGTAGGGTCTGAGGTTACTGCATGTCTGGGAATGTTTATGTACAACAACTGTTAGAGACGCTCGACACTATGATGAGCGAGCAGGAAAAAAAAGACGAACCCAGATAGCTGGCTTTGGTGCAAGCAGTGATATTTATTTACAAAGTGAAACAGTGCAATGAGAAGGGGAGAGGTAGTTAGTGGTAACCGGGTGTCGACCAGCTGTTGGAGAAAAACATATGCAGTCTATGGAGTGGTGAATAATGACAGACCGGGCTGCGGACGCTGGGGTCACTCCTGGATAGATCGGGGTTGAGGTGAAGATGACTGTGGAGACAGGAGCATGGAACAAACAGTTAAAGGAGACTGTGCATCGACCTGTATGGTGGTGGCTGGGAGAGCTCAGTAGATCCAGGGTCCAGAGAAGCGGTTTGTAGAGAAGGAAGCAGCGGGAAACAAAAGAAGGTAATACTTAACAAAAAGAGAGAGAACTATGACTGGCGTAAGTAGCGCAAGAAGCAAAATAACAATCAAAGGGGCCTGGAGACAGAGACTGAACTGTCAGGGGAGTGATCAGTCAGCAGGGTATAAGTAGGGAGGAAAGTGATCAGGTGCAGCAGGTGATAATCAAGGGAAGTGGGGCAGGTGTGTTAGTGTAATCAGGGAAGCAAAACTAGAGTGAGAAAAAGGAAGAGAGGAAGGTGCAGCTAGGCAAACCTGACAGCAACTCGCTGTTTTACCTGACTGGGTCTAAAGTGGCGTGAATGGAGTGGCCGGAAACCTACAGGCAGCCGGCCAATGAAGCACCCCGGGGTGGTGAATGATCAGCTCATCGACGCTGGATTTCCCTGGAGCACAGTACCTGTTTGTTTTGACTGCTTGAGGCCAGAAATAATGTGTTCCACATATGATGTGTTGCTGGTCAAGAAGTAGATAAACAACCCGTGATGTTACTGTCGGCACTATGCTACCTGTAGGAATTAATTTCACTACTTTGGGACTGTATGTGGTCATGTGGAGGAGACACAGCAACCACTGGTTGGATTTACCAACCTTGGAGCTGCTTGAAAGAGAGCGATGTTTCGACTACCTGGTGGGACTTAACAGTAAGTTTAAAAAAACACATGTTTGCATGTCTGCTAATGCGTTGTATGTCTGCATTATGCCAAGTAAAATATAGGGTTTCACAATTAAATGCTTTGTTTAGAGTGGTACATATCTCTGTTCATGGGTACATATACTGTTGTTTATCTATGATGGAGAAATTGAAATGAATTGATGCCGTTGCAGTTTGTTGTGCTGTCCACTTGCGACACAACACTGGCAACAGGAGTCCTGCTCATTCACAAACTATCCTCTTGTTTTTAGGAAGAGGCTCTCTGGTTTTATCATTCTGAAATAATTACACACTATGTGGAGTTATGAGGGGTGACAAGCTAGTCTAGAGGTACCCAAGATTAAATATTAAATGGCTGGAAATGAGCATCCATGGGCACTTGAAAGACTTTTGTTGCAAGAGAAAATAGTTGTGCAACATCAGACAACCAAACTGTCCTGAGGTGAATGAACATTTGACCAGGGGTTCTCCATTAGATTTCTGTAGAGATGTTACTTATCGTCTCTTACTTAAACCAAGTTATCAATAATCAGTGTTCACATTAATGTCATGCTCTCCACAGGGTGCACAGCACAAGGACTCAGCACAGTAGTTTATCATCCATGGTCAGCTAACCATAAGCTTTGATTGTATGTTCTTCATTCAGAGGTGGAGGGGGGGGGGAAAAAGCAGAGATATTGTTGAGAGAAACATTTCAAAGTAAAATCTTTCCTGCCTTTTATTACTGTTTCCTTTCTGTCTGTACAGGACACACTGTGTTTACCCAATCGGTCATATAAAGCTTTGAACTGACCAAATGTAGTTAAACTACATTTAATTACATATAGTTAACTATTCCTCAACACTGAATACAGTGTAGTTTTAAATTGAAACACTCAAGTACTTCAATATAGTACCTGCATAAATATATTTAGTCATTTGTTGTAAACGGTGGTTCTTCCTTGAAAATGAAAATCAGTGCATTTCAAATTGGGACTGCCACACCTTGTGTAAGAGGAAGTCGCCTTATTTGGCCTCCTGTGGAATCCTGGCAGCCTCCATTGATACACATACAGTAAAACTGTTTAAATCTTGGACGCATTCCATAAAGATTAAACACTGTTGTTACTGGTCTTTATTATTAGTCACAGCCAGCAGGTGTGGCTTCAAACTGTGGCTGACATGGCTGTAGAATGAACCTTTCCTTCCCACTTCTGCCAAGTCCACCATGTCAAGTATGTTCTCCTTCCTCACACACAGCATCTGCAGACATTGCTTGTCCAGACAGGTGCTGTGCTAAAGTAAATTTCCTCCTTATTCTCCACTGATTACAGAAAAAAGTCAAAGTGCTTCAAGTACCAAATCAGAGGAAGTACTTTTTATTTTCCTAAAAGTTCAAAGACATGACAGTTTTGAGTTGTGGTCTTAGGCGACACACAACATAAAACAAGATTTACTGATGAGTATCTTTAATGAAATTGAATCAGAGGCAGTGTGGACACAAGGCATTTAACCCCTGTAGTCTGTCTGGTAAATAATACCCGTATTCCAACATTTACATCTCTATGGTTTCCTTGAAAGCCTACACCCCCATGGGGCTATACTGAATGTGAGACACATTCACTATGTGATGTATAGGTTTGTCTGTGTTCATTGGGGCTGTGTTGTGTAGACCAAAATAGTTACTGTGTGTTCAGCTTGTGCTGTGCACAATGTTTAAAATGTCCTGAATGTTTGAAATTACTGAGGTTCAAATAAAAATTAGCAGTTGTGAAAAATTTTGCTTCATTTGTAAATTTGTTATTTTTTCCAATCGTCTAACAAGAAATTAGCATAATACAGTTGTGTAATGTAATCTAACAAAGGTAATAAGCAAATGTAAACATCTATTCATTATTAGAGTTGGTTTTTGCATTGTTTTAGATTAGAATTCTTTGATTATGTTGAGTTACAAAGCCAAAATATGTTTGTGGGTGCAGGACACCCGTGAACAGAACACAGGTAGTGTAAGCAAAACATGATCAGAACAGTTATAAAATGTATGTCTTGGCTAGAATGTGATGCCAACTAAATTAATTCAGACAAATCATCCCAATTTAAGTAATCATTTAATATTACAATTATTCTGAACAGAGTAGTAGTTGAATAGGTAATCTGGTAGTTAGGAAACAGAGAACAGAATCACTCCGCCTGCAATGGGATAGATAAAGTGTCGTGGCTAGAGTGTGATGCTGACTAAATTCATTCAGACAAACATCCTAATTTAAAGGATCATTTAATATTACAATTATTCTGAATAGAGTAGTATTTAAACAGATAATCTTGTACTTAGGGAAGCAGAGAACAGGGACTCTAAAAGATAAAGCATTTTAAATAAGAAGATTGTCAAAAGCGTCAGTCCAGTCAGTTGTTGTTGGTCATGAGTCAGTCTTTCTGTCAACCCACAGTCAGTTGTCATTCTCCCCAGCCCTCTGGGGCCGGGTGTGAGAAAAAAGGTCCATTCTTTTGAAAAGAGAAGACTAATAAAAAGATATGTTTCTCTATATGAAATTTATTATGCATTAACATATCAAAATAAGCATGTGCACATGGATCCCATCTGTTTAGGATAAACAGAAAAGACTAACTTCAACTTAGCAGTACACAACATTTATA